AAAATCATTTAAGTTCATTTTTTTCCCCCTCATTACACACACACACACAGCACCCCTTATTGACAGAAAAACACAGAACTGTTGACATTTTTGCAGTGCACATTTATTAAAAAACTGAAATATCACATGGTCCTAGGTATTCAGACCCTTTGCTCAGTATTTCGTAGAAGCACCCTTTTGATCTAATACAGCCATGAGTCTTTTTGGGAAAGATTTTCACATCTGGATTTGGGTATCCTCTGCCATTCCTCCTTGCAGATCCTCTCCAGTTCTGTCAGGTTGGATGGTAAACGTTGGTGGACAGCCATTTTCAGATCTCTCCAGAGATGCCCAATTGGGTTTAAGGGCCCGTCCACACTACTGCGTTTTCGTTTAAAAACGGAGAATTAAAACGAATACGATCTCATTCCACATTAAAACGACTGAAAACGCGGATCACGTGACCATTCACCAACACTGGGCATGTGCGTGCCGGTGTAAACAGTGAATGACAAATCAGGGAAGGATACGTCATGACTGAGAACACCCAATCATAGAGCCGAGCGACAGCCTCTGCGTCAGCGTTTCTGAAGTTCTCCATTTTGTCTCTTCCACACTAAAATGCCCTCCGGAGATTCAAAACGCAAAACGCAGCTGCAGCGTTTCTAAACTTCTCCGTTTTAGTGGACGGGAGGTGCAAACGTAGCAAAAGGTCTCCGTTTTTAAACGAAAACGCAGTAGTGTGGACGGGGCCTAAGTCAGGGCTCTGGCTGGGCCATTCAAGAACAGCCACGGAGTTGTTGTGAATCCACTCCTTCGTTATTTTAGCGGTGTGCATAGGTTCCCCTTCCAACAAGACAACGACCCATCGGCCCAGAGCACTCTTGAAAAGGTTTTCGTCCTGGATATCCCTGTACTTGGCCGCATTCATCTTTCCCTCGATTGCAACCAGTCACATCATGATGCTGCCACCACCCTGCTTCACTGTTGAGACTGTATTGGACAGATGATGAGCAGTGCCTGGTTTTCTCCACACATACCACTTAGAATTAAGGCCAAAAAGTTCCATCTTGGCCTCATCAGACCAGAGGATCTTATTCATCACCATCTTGGAGTCCTTCAGGTGTGCTTTCATGTGTCTTGCACTGAGGAGAGGCTGCCGTCGGGCCACTCTGCCATAAAGCCCCGACTGGTGGATTGCTGCAGTGATGGTTGACTTACTACAACTTTCTCCCATCTCCCGACTGCATCTCTGGAGCTCAGCCACAGTGATCTTTGGGTTCTTCTTTACCTCTCTCACCAAGGCTCTTCTCCCCTGATAGCTCAGTTTGGTCGGACGGCCAGCTCTAGGAAGGGTTCTGGTCGCCCCAAACGTCTTCCATTTAAGGATTATGGAGGCCACTGGGCTTTTAGGAACAGCAGAATTTTTTTTTGTAACCTTGCCACAATTCGGTCTCTGAGCTCTTCAGGCAGTTCCTTTAACCTCATGATTCTCATTTGCTCTGACATGCACTGTGCGCTGTAAGGTCTTATATAGACAGGTGTGTGGCTTTCCTAATCAAGTCCAATCAGTATAATCAAACACAGCTGGACTCAAATGAAGAACCATCTCTAGGATGATCAGAAGAAATAGACAGCACCTGAGTTAAATATATGAGTGTCACAGGAAAGGGTCTGAATACTTAGGACCATGTGATATTTCAGTTTTTCTTTTTTAATAAATGTGCAAAAATGTCAACAATTCTGTGTTTTTCTGTCAATATGGGATGCTGTGTGTACAATAATGAGGGGGGAAAAAAACAAACTTAGTTATTTTGCAGCCATTTGCTGAAATCATTTAAAAGTGAAAAATTTAAGCGGGTCTGAATAAATATATATATATATATATATATATATATATATATACACATTATGTACTTAAGAGACACTCTACCTTTGCGGTTAATATATGATGCTTTTGAATTTGACAGGGATTAGAGGAGGACAGAGTAATTGCTTCTAAAGAATGTTAATGTTTGGGAATGTTTCAAGCAGGTCGATGACCCAGAGGAGGTCATGACATATGATGCATGTAATGATTAGATTTTGACTGTAAAGTATGGAGATGTTGTAAATTCTCTTGTCCTCTGACCTGTAATGCTGTCTGAATCACACACAGTTCCTTTGTTGGCCAGAGGAGAACTGGCCCCCGACTGAGTCTGGTTTCTCCCAAGGAGCTATTGTCACTGATTTTTGGTTCCTTCCTGCTTAATTGGGGAGATAATTATTCAACAATATTTTTTTGTTGACAATAACAATTTTCCTCTAGAAACAAACTTGTATTATTTTCCTGTTTATTATTGTGAAGCTGCTTTGATACAATCTGTATTGTAAAAAGCACTATATAAATAAAGGTGATTTGAGGCACTCGAATGGCTCGTTGCACCAGCCATTCGTAATTTCTTTCTTAAATTGTAACGTAAAGTCCACACCAGAGGCTTAGTAACTACTAGCTAGTTTGTAACTAACTCTGTACTTTATTCCATTGCACCATTTGTTCATAAGGTAGAACGTAGCTAGTAAGTCGTAATCTCTCCATAAAGTAATGCGTAGTCGCATAATATGACGTTTAGCCTTGATGAACCAATAGCAGCCTTCAAATGCGTGAGAAGAAGTTGTGTTGAAATGCCGTGAATTTCAGTTCATCCTTCTTTTGCCTCACCTTACTAACGGTAAAAATAAGATCCATTTAATATGATACTTGATCATGAATAACATACATTTTTTTTAAATATTAAATAACATTCAAAAACTGTATTTGAATAAGTATTTTAAAAAATAAATATTGATACAAAAAAAAAAAATTACGCTTATTGATTATGACTGATATTTGACATGCACAACATGGACTGATGCACACAGCAGCGCTGTTTAGGACAGGTTCGTGTTAAAGAGCTGCTAACAAAGTAATCTTTTCACATAATTTTCTCTCTCTTAAAATGTAAGCGAGTGTAAATGTCAGCATTTTCATACATGTCTAAAGAATTGAAATCTGTCAGGTAAAAGAAGAGCTTATTGATGCAGTTCAGTCTGTCTGATATTTTATTCCAACCGTTACTCCAGATCGGAGGCTGCCGTAAATATTTAGTTGGAATGTAGAGTTACGTTTAAACTAAGTTTAATGGTGCAACATAAATATTTAGTAGTGCATAAGTTGTAACTTAGTGCCCATTTATGTCAAAACTAGACTAAGTTGTACCTGGCTTGCGCAAAGCTGGTGCAACCAGCCCCATGTAACTACTGATCAAAGGCTCCTCTTGCCATCATGGTAGAAAACTAGATATCTTGTCCCCTTTAAACTCTTTTTGTCTCGGTCTTATCTTCAAAGTTTTAATCTGCAAATGCTGTGAGAAACAGTATGCTTCTATCAGCAGTCAAGGTCAGTAGACCTGGGAAGAGTCTAGGGAGTCAGATAAAATGTTTCCAATTAAAATAATATTTATGTTGGTCAGTACTCAGTTTTGCTTAGAGGTCAATTTGCAGCTCTCTTGGAGATGTTTCGGTTGTAAGAGAGACTACCCTGACTACCCTTAATTTTATTGGTGAACTTCCACTACAACCTATATAATAGACCATACTTTTTAACAGTCACAAGGCAAGGCTTGGATCTTGGTGTGCTTAATCGGTGCACACCAGGGTTCAGATGGCAACGCTGGTTCAAAACCACACTAAAGCCAAGTTCACAGTACAGGATTTTAAGCCCGATTTGCAAATCGCCGAACAGGTCAGGGTGTTATCGCGAGCAAATCGCGGGGGATTAGCGGACGATGAACGCTTGCCAATCTGTTCGCATGAAAGAGCCAACAACGCATCAAAGACGCGTCGCAGAGCCCAGAAAAATATCTAGCATGCTAGATATCCAGAGCTGTCGCGCGACTCAACTTCACTGATGTCATGAGTACCAGCCAATCAGAGCAAGGCATGGGTTGAGGTCACTGGGTTTTTTCTTTTTTTGCATTTTTTTTTCTCAGATCAAATCATCACGCAAACAGTTTGAAGCACTAGTTTCTGTCTAACGTCCATATTCGCGTGTTGTGTTCTTCTCTTCTTCGCTGGGTATTGACACACGTGCTGTTTTGTGTCATTTCCGGTTCATCTTATCTCGTGATTTTAGTGTTTTTTTTGTTTTTTTTTGGTGTGAACAGCTCAACAACTTGAACACTCCTGATTTCACTGAGAGCAAGTCATATAGTGTGAACTGCACAGTTCAGCCCGACGTTTTAAAATCATGTAGTGTGAACAAGGCATAACAGAACAACAGCACCAGAGTTCATTTTAACCGAACCAAATCTGCCAAGTGTGAACACATCTTAAACACCTCACCCCCTAGTATGAATGCATGGAGTTAGAATTGCTGTGCAATTGCATTCACACCGCCAACAGTGTATTAAGACAAGTAAATATCGGGAGAAGATTCAGGGTCTTGAAGTCAGTATTTAATTGATGTAATATGCAGCTAGTTCTTATAATTCATTGAAATATGTCATTGCTTATTATCTCATGTTATTGCATATATTGTGTCGTGTGATTGATGTTTTGCACTGGCCGTGTCATGCTGTCCAAGACAAATTTCCCAGGAATGGGACAATAAAGTACAATACAAATACAATTAAATGCCACTTAAAGGGATAGTTCACCCAAAAATGAAAATTCTGTCAGTATTTACTTATCCTCAAGTTGTTCCAAACCTCTATGTGTTTATTTGTTCTGCTGAACACAAAGGAAGATATTTGGAAGAATGTTTTAATCAAACAGATCTCATTCCCCATTGACTAACATAGTCCTATAGTAGTCAATGGGGATTGAGATCTGTTTGATTAAAACATTCTTCCAAATATCTTCCTTTGTGTTCAGCAGAACAAATAAACACATAGAGGTTTGGAACAACTTGAGGGTGAGTAAATAATGAAAGAATTTTAATTTCTGGGTGAACTATCCCTTTAAAACACTTTTGCATTGTAAATATGCTATTGTGTGTGTACCTTGCGCAAATCAGGGACCTTGTCTCTGGCTCGATGATACTCCACCACACACTCCGGGCAGTAGCTGAGGTCTTCATTCAAAGACTTCATCACACCCTCAGACAGCTTCCCTAAGCTGTAGCGTCGCAACATGTCGACGATTGCCACATCTCCATCCGCTTCCAGGGCCGTGGTGCACCACAGACACTTTTCCATCATGATCGCCTGTGCACACAGATGCAGAGAGCTTAGTACCGTACTTCAAGAGTCTGGGAATCTTCTCCGCATGACAAAACAGACTTTATCAAAGTCGACTCTGTTCACGGAGCAACTCCAGGTCAGCCACTGCACACCTCTTAAACGGTTTCATATATCATCTATTTTTAGTAATTCTGCCTAAAAATCAGAAACGCAACAAACTAAAATAAAAGGCCATGAAACCAACCAAACGTTGTCTAAATGCATACCAAAAAATAAAAAAACATCAAAACTGTAACTGAACTCAAGTGTTCATTGATGCTTTCTGAGAAAGGTTTACTCTTGCATAAATAAACTTTCTCCTGGCATGCGCACGAACAGACACTTTCACCTATGATTATTGGCTCACGGTTCAATAATTTGAGGATTGTATTACAAAGACCAATTTTCCATCTTTTACTTGAGGGCTCACTCAGACATGTTCTCAAATCACTTTTTAAAGCAATAGCACGATCATTATACAAGTTGATTATAATGACCAGACACATTCATAGAAGTCAAATACATTCTTGACCATGGATAACAGTGGATAATCATTTATCAGTGGTTCTCAACAGGGCCATTCAGAGAACAACGGGGGCGTTTGATTTTTGAAAGGGAGGCATTCACGAGTTATATACACGGCAGATTTGTTGTGTTCATTTCTATTGCTTACTATTGAAAGCAGTATCAATAATGTCTGTGTGTATGCCGTTTAAATGGGTATTCTCACCGATACGCTTGTTGTGTTTCGTTGACAAGTTGTATAGACTTGATATCATTTCTTATTCAAAAGGCAGAGCTTTTAATTTTGAACTCGCAAATTGCACCAGATGGATGAATTCAACATAAATCCACAAAATTTTCATGTCCCCGAAACCCCCTAGTAGACCCACCACAGATTTACCAAAAGTTTAGTGAAAAAAACACTTGTATTGCCATGCAGCTTATACTTTGTTAATCACTGTGGAGTAGTTCAATTGTATAAATAAATGACAATTTAGTACAAATTTAATCTGTTAACTCTCACTTGTTCCAACTCACTAATTACATGGCAATAGCGTGTGCGTGTGGGGTTGTATCTATCTATCTATAACTATTTCTGCAACATGGTTGCAGTTGGATTCCAATAAACACACTTCATAATCATGAGCAGATCTAAGAAAAACAGTACAAAGAAATCAGATAGCAATAATAGTTAATAATAATAGAAAAGGAACAAATCAAAGTTAACACAAATTACAAACAATGATAGCATGGTGTGTCCGATAGAGTGTGAACAGACATAACAGATCAGAAGACAAACGTGTTCTCCCACACAGTGAAAATCTGTCTAATAAATACACAAATCAAGGTTAATACAGCCTGTTCATAGCATCCATTTTACGTTGTACATTGATTATAAGGATACAATAAAACAAGGGTGTGTCAACTCTGCGCGGGTACATATTCTGTGCAAACATGTGAATATTATGAAATAAGAATATATAGTATTAAGAAATAAGAAACTATATTTCCGACGGTAAAAATGTAGTTGCCTGATTTGAATTAACTTAGCTAGCTACCCTAAAATGAAGCAAGCAACTGGACGGAATATGAAGAAACGAAACTTAGATAACTTAAGTTAATTCCACTGTGGGTATTTTCTGCTCTGTTATGGTTTTGGTTTGTGAAAGATATTAGCCAGATATTAGTCAAGAGCCAGCAAACACTCAAAGACAAACATGGTAAAGATGTATTTTGATTGGCACAAATGGTTATAGTCTCCACAAAGAGTATGAGAAAGTATTTAAGCTGAAGTTGCTCTGCAACTATGTGTTAGCATTTGCTTTTAAACTTAAGACCATATGTCAGAGCCATAAACCAACCATAAGGGATCTGCAGGAGGAAGAGCCAACTAATAAATAACGTTACATTTTAAAAAATTAAATGTAAATATTATGAGAGGGAAAAAATCAGCTTACCCGCAAAGCTCCTAAGGAGGACACCGACCGAGTCTTTCAGGACTGTTTCATCTCTTCCACACACTGACACGGTTGTAATGTAAATACCTCATGTCCATTCAGCACAGCAGCGTGTTTTTACATGGTCTCTCTCCCCCCTCTCTCTCTATTTTGCTCTCGATTTCGCTCTCTTCCACCGAAAACACGAGTCGCGCTGCGGTGACGTAGTGACTGGAACCAGGAGGCCCATTGCGCCTGCGCAGCTCCAAAACGCGGGATTCTCGGAATATAAGGGGCTTGTGTTATTGAAATGGCCTTCCGTACAATTAGTAAAACGATTGATTAAAGTTTTGAAATAAAGTGCACAAGGAAGATAATTATCCATTAATTGCTCAAAAAGTATTATAAAATATATTTTTTCCTCAAAAATATTCAAATATCAATGAAAGTAGTTTTGTATTTAATAATATACATTATTAGTGATACATGAAGGTGAAACAAATTTAATAAATATATTAAAATATTAATTTTAGGGTCTACCGAACCTATAGTTTTGTAGTTGATAAAATACATTAGTTTGCAATAAATATATACAGCTGGTGAAATTTACAAAATGATTCTTAAGTTTAAATAAGAAATGTATCTGTACTTTCTTTAAAAAAAATATTAACATTAATTTGAGTGTATTCCAAAACTATAGTTTGTAGACATTATAAACTTATGATACACATTAAAGAAAATATGTTTTTGCTATTACAGAAATCAACATTCACATTGACAACACCTCCACAAATAACTGCAACAGTTCATACATAAACATATTTTGCTTTTTATTCAGCCTGATATGAATTACACATGATAAAAGAGAGGATCATCTTAAGAGTTATGCAATAACCTCCCTTCCCTTTATATAAACACCCCGTCACAGACAGTTTCTACATCATCCTAAAAACAGAGGCCTCGGTACATGCTAGAGTTCACCTGAGGTTTGGGTTCATATCTTTTTTTTTTTTAATGTCCTTTTCATATTTCCATTTGACATGTACAGTATATTCCTGTTGTAGCAGTTGCAAAGCCATCCTTAAATATTCAAAAGTGGTATTATGGGAATGTCGCGAGCGGAAAGTAGTTCAGGTGAAAAAAAATGGCCAACATCAGGGAAAAAAATAGGTCAGAAATATAAAAAGGAAAAAAAGAAGGAAAAACATTAATATTAAAAAGCTGAGGTTTATTGTTCCTGCACTGTCAAAATGGCATCCTTTGAGATGATTGATATTACAAAAAAAGGAATGACAATTCAAATGAAATGTAACTGCATATTATCTGAAACAAACATGAGCTGTCAGCTGAATTAATTCCCAAAAAATCAATTCAAATGTGATGTTGAAGAACGAAACATTCAGCAAGAACAACACAACATAATGTAAATGGTGTTGAAACAACATAATTCTGACCAAAAATAGGCTTGAATTGTGTTCCCATGACCTAATTTTGTTCCCAGCACCAATTGAGGCAGATGAATCTGAAACTAGTTGTAGCAACTCCATGTTGTTCTGAAATGCCTTTATGCTCAAGACATTGACCAATCCTGCTCACGCACGTCTGGAGGAAAAAGCGAATGCAAGAGACACGGTCTGTCAGAAGACAAACTTTAAAACAAAAATGGCCAGCAAAGAGGAGAAACACAAGAATCCTTGCCTCTACACACACACACACACACACACACACACACAACTAGTGTTAATATCAAATCGAATTGACAAAGTGCAAATTATTTTGAGTTTAGATTACACTTTTTAACAGGAATCCAAGGTGAATCTCGCAAAGCCTGTCGAGAACATGTCGGGGGTTGCGTTTCACCCCAAAATCAAACAAAATAAATATTTTGCTTTAAGAAAAAGAAGCCTATTTTAGGACCATTATGAGTTTTTACATTGTGACGAGCACATTCTGTAAAGCGATATGCAATAAAAAAAATAACTATCACAGTAATGAGAATAATGATTGAGAATAAAAAGGGCAAATGCCTGGACACATTAATGAGAATTTGGTAAATGCAAAAAAAAAAAATTTAAAATAATAATTTCGTGTGAACTGTGACCTGGACATATTTTTGCGATATTCACCTTGTAATGATTATTTATTTATTTTAGGATATACAAATGAGTAAAAGCAATAACCCCCATCCCCCACATCTGGTTTAAATGCGTCATTTGTTTCTGCATTCCTCACCCTCCTGATTTATTACCCACACTTAAATTCCCAATTCCTGACCCTGGTCCATTAACATGTCGTTTAAATTAAAGTAATGCCATGCTGATATGTTTGCCATTTCGTAAAAAATTCTTTCATCCACTTCCACCTCTTCCCCCCCCCTTCACATCGCCATTAAGATCGTCCCTGTGAATGTTAATGAATAAAATATATATTACATTTGTCATTAAATAGTTTTGTCTTTTGCACGGTCTGCATGCATTAAGAACGCAGGGCAGCCTATGGACAATGGGGGGAGGGGGGGGGGAGGCCATTTTGTCGTGCGAACAGTTGGGTCACGGTCACGTCTGCGATACAAACTCGCTCCTTTGGTCCACAAGTACACTGTTCTGTGCTTTCACATTAACCAGAACAGTCCAGACTATGAAACTCCAGTGTGTTTGAGAGTGTGTGTACATATGTATGTGAGTGTGTGTGTGTGTGTGTGTATCTGGGGTCAGTTTTCGAAGGGGTTTTGAAGCAAATCACTGAAGCTTCGTTCCCAGCTTTCGTTGTCTGTTTCTGTGAGAAGACAAAAGAAAGAATGTAAGCCAAAAGGTTTAGAAGGCACTTTCCACAAGATATAATTTAAATACTAAAATGTATAAATGTATGTCACACAAACTGTTAGTGAATTTCCCACTATAAAGAAATGGGAGCTTTCCATTGAAATTGTGACACACAGGAAGTGGAGCTATTCTACAGCATAGCAGGATGACAAGTATTTTAATGTTGACCATTCATCAGGCTCAACCAGTCAAGCCTGTTGACAAATTTATTTTGCAAAAAAAAAAAAAGGGTGGTGATGGCGCAGTGGTTTAGACACATGCCTTTGGTGTGAGAGACTCGGGTTCGAATCCACTGTGAGACACCAATGTGTCCCTGAGCAAGACACTTAACCCCTAGTTGCTCCAGAGGCATGCGACCTCTGACATATATAGCAATTGTAAGTCGCTTTGGATAAAAGTGTCAGCTAAATGAATAAACGTAAATGTAAAAAAACAAACATTTCTTCAGTTTACATGAGTGTAAGTTTATTAAAAACATTTAATCCCAAACACGCTAGACCCTACTAACATCATTTAGATTAAATATGCAACCATGTAACTCGTTTTTAAATTTTATTTGATTATTTTATTAATTAAACTACTGTTTAAAAGTTTGGTGCTGGGAAGATTTTTTTTACTGTTTTTAAAAGTTGTCTCTTCTGCTCATCAAGGCTTTATTTATTTGATAAAATATTGTGAAATATTATAAAATAGCTGCTTTCTATCTGAATATATGTTAAAATGTAATTTATTCCTGTGATCAAATCTGTATTTTCAGCATCATTACTCCAGTCTTCAGTGTCGCATGATCATTCAGAAATCACTCTAATATGATGATTTGTGCTCAAGAAACATTTATTATTATCAATGTTAAAAATGGTTTAATATTTTTTTTTGGAAACATTGTGAATGCCTTTACTGTCACTTTTTAATTTCATGTTTAAACTGTTTAAGACATCTCCGAAATTAGTCCTCGATATTGAAAAAAATAAAACCGCTCATATAGTTTGACCTCTCTGACAAGAATATTATGTGAAGGTTATGCACAACTCCTGTCAATAAATACATTTTTTAGACTTTTAAAGGAGAACTCCGGCACAAAATGAACCTTTGGTCTAATAACACATCGGTACCTAGTCGATCATTCTCTGAGATTTGTTTTCATTATTATCGAATGTAAAGAGTTTAATCTCTAAAAACTGTTTAGCGAATAACGCTAGTATATGGAGGCATTTACTAAGTAAAAAGAAATCGCTAGTTTATACCACTAACAAGGCTCAAAACAGCCCCACAATAACACAGTAACATAATGAGGGTCCATACATACAAAACGAAGCATTGAGAACTTTGTAAGTGTACAGACCGTTTAATTAAAGATACTTTATAAAGACAGTTCACTTCGTGTATACAGGCAGGAGCCATCTTTGGAAAACAGTCTCGATAAGTCGAACCACAAACGACGTGCTGAGTAAGTTCAGCGAAAAAAAGCGTTTAGCGTTTTCCAAAGATGGCTCCTGCCTGTGTCCACCAAAGCGTTTTTCCACGCCCCTGGCGTACGTTTTCAATTGTTTTCAATGGGAGCGCCGCGTATTTTAAACACCATGAGCGTAACGAGGCACTGAGCATTTTTTTCACGCTGAAGCGCCGAGTGCCCAGCTTTTTTTACTGGTCGCTGAGAGTTGAAACATTTTCAACTTTGGATAAAACGCAGCGCTCATCACCGTCACTTTTTACCCAGCCGTCCAATCACAGTGGAGGAGGGGCGGGACTAAACCACACCGACCAACTGTCACAACATTCTTTCTGTACAACGACATCAACCAACAGAGCTAACAGAACAAAATGGATGACAAAAATTTTTAGTATGAAAAAAATTATCTGTGAAATCAGTTTGTGCTGCAGATATTCTGCATTATAGCAACGAAACGTCCCAGCGTCTGGTGTTTTCAGCTGGCAAAAAACGCTTTGGTGGACACACAGCCTTAGTGTGGGGCTATTTTGAGCCTTGTTAGTGGTATTACAATCGATTTATTTTATCATATGCCCCAATATACTAGCGTTATACTCTTAACAGTTAATGATAAGATAAAACTCTTTACATTAAATTATCATGAAAACAAATCTCAGATAACGGTCGACTAGGTACCAATGTGTTATTAGACCAAAGGTTCATTTTGCGCCGGAGTTCTCCTTTAAGTCTTATTTCATGAAGTGTCAGAAAGGCCCTCAATCTGACATTTGGCAGTAGACGCAGCAGGTGAGTTTACCTGGCTTCTGATCTGGTTACTGTGTATTCAAACCACAGGATGTTGGGAATGAGACTTGTATCTCTCACCAGAAAAAACTCTGAGATAGGCCTGAGAAAAGAGAGAGAAACCAAACATGATAGTGAAATAGAGCTCTGTGTGTGTAAGTTCAGGATATTAATGTGTGTGTGTGTGCATGCATCATTACCAGGCTGCCATCTTGGGAAAGAGTGGCGTTAGCACCTCTTGGGTGATAAAAAACCAAACCACTCCCATCACCAAACCGGCCACACCCCCATAAATCACCTGACCCCAGGTGTGGTACAGGAGGTAGACTCTATGAACACATGGGACAACATATGCAATAATACTCCAACACTACAAAGAACAAAGATCCTGCACTCACTCACTTAAAAAAACCATTACCTGCTGTATGACACGGACAGAGCCACGGCCATTAGAATGATGGACAGTATATGCCGCCATAACAATTCAACACACCTGGCATTGTTCGTCTGATGCATTCTGGGAAAAGAAATCAAATTAGACATATTTTGGGTTTATTAAAATTTCAAGAGATTCAGATGTATGTAAAATCCACAATAAAAAAAATCCCACTATCATTGTGGAAGACACAAAGACTTGTCCAACTGATGGTATAAATATTTAAAACTTTCCATATAAAGCAACAAAGTTTAATAATTAGTTACTTTTTCAAGACTAACAGTGCATTCAGGGCTAACATAGGAGCACAAGCAGAGAGTTTAGGGGTACACCTTAAATCGACCAGCAATGCAATTATTCACATTAGAGTTTTGAAGTGCTGGAAAAAGTTGTGTGAAGCCCTTGAAAAGTGCATGAATTTCACTCTTTAAAGGTTGTACGAACCCTGAAAAAATTATATTTCTGCCACAATGCCATGGTTACAGTTAGCATTACTACATTAAATTCATGGTGAATTTGTGATTTGTGGATTGAAAAGCCTTCTGTAACTTGTTCGTTCATGTCTCCTGGTTTGATCTGATATGGTTCATAACAGAATTTAAAAGCTTCTCACTACATTGCGATGTTTAATGCAGAGGCGAATTCAAGAGCTTTGTTTAGCGCAGTCATTGTAAATATTTAGCTTTTTCCTTTCACACAACAAAAACCGACAAAATATCAACAATGTAGTTATTCAATATTGATTATTTAAGACCGATCACTTATATATACACACACACATATACGTACAATGATTTCTGAAGGATCATGTGACACTTAAGACTGAAGTAGTGATGCTAAAAATGTAGCTTTGTTCACAGGAAATTGTGTTTTATTATAATTATAGAATATATATTATATTCAAATAAAGTTATTTTAAATTGTAATGATATTTCACAATATTATTGTTTTTACTGGGTTTTATTTCATGTCAATTCTTTATTTTTTCATTTTTATAAAATGTTATGAATAAAAATGTGAATTTCTTACCTTAAATAAAGAAAAAGGAAAAAGTATACAACAAAAAACCAGATGAACTGAGAGTGACTAGAGGGCATCCCGTACTCTGTCGTGACTGCGCTGTGACCTGTGAACGAGATACAACAGACAATTCAGTAACTCACCAAACATTAGGCATGTGCACAGGTAATCGTTGACTAGCTGGGTACTATGCCCTGACATGTCAAATGTAAAAAAAAATAAATAAATAAAAAAATAAATAAAATAATAATATTATATATATATATATATTTTACATTTGTATTATTATTGTATTGTATTATTTATATTATTATTTTTTTTACAATAGTATTATTATTACTATTCTACGGAGCCCCTCTAGTCCCACTTTGGTAAAAAAAATTTATTATAACTATCTTGTGGCCTCAAGATAGTAACTCGTGGCCACAAGATACTAACTCGTGGCCACAAGATACTAACTCTATCTTGAGGCCACGAGTTACTATCTTGAGGCCACGAGTTACTATCTTGTGGCCACGAGTTACTATCTTGTGGCCACGAGTTACTATCTTGTGGCCACGAGTTAGTATCTTGTGGCCACGAGTTAGTATCTTGTGGCCACGAGTTAGTATCTTGAGGCCACGAGTTACTATCTTGAGGCCACGAGTTACTATCTTGAGGCCACGAGTTACTATCTTGTGGCCACGAGTTAGTATCTTGTGGCCACGAGTTACTATCTTGAGGCCACGAGTTACTATCTTGAGGCCACGAGTTACTATCTTGTGGCCACGAGTTACTATCTTGTGGCCACGAGTTAGTATCTTGAGGCCACGAGTTAGTATCTTGAGGCCACGAGTTAGTATCTTGAGGCCACGAGTTAGTATCTTGAGGCCACGAGTTAGTATCTTGAGGCCACGAGTTAGTATCTTGAGGCCACGAGTTACTATCTTGTGGCCACGAGTTACTATCTTGTGGCCACGAGTTAGTATCTTGAGGCCACGAGTTACTATCTTGAGGCCACAAGATAGTTATAATTAATTTTTTTTACCAAAGTGGGACTAGAGGGGCTCCGTACTATTCTATTATTAAAAAATAATAAATAAAAAGTAAAAAAAAAAAATACAGAAGAGCACCAGATCTATTGCCTGTGTTTCTCTCTCTCTCTCTCTCTCTCTCTCTGATCTTTCTAGCTAATTTACAAGAGCTGTGAGACCAACTTGAAAATAATAACTCTTTCTGTAGTCAAGGCCAGGGAAAGTTTAGGGAGTCAGATGAGATTTAATTGGAAACATCTCATCTGACTCCCTAAACTTTCCCTGGCCTTGACTATAAAAAAAATAACAATTATTTATGCACGTTAGGTCGGCATATTATTGGATGTTACGGAAGAGTATAAAGATTAACAGGAAAATGTAGTTATATGATAAACGGAAGTAGAAGGCCTTATGATAATCTGCTCACTTGTTCATTCAGTAAATCTTTGTTCAATGAAATATTAATATGCATGATTTCACTGAATAAACACTATTTTGCTTGAAGCTCATTTTGTGGCGTGTTGATGTTTCAGTTGTAAGAGAGACTACCCTGGATCGCCATTTCAGAGTTTTTCTTTTTTACTTGACTTAATAATTACCACTGAGTGGCCTGACTTTGATTTTATTGGTGAATAAAAAAAGTGCTTAAAGATCAGTGCCTGTATTCATAAAAATAAGGATCCTATCAGAAAACCCTTAATTTAGCTTTAAATCTTTTATGTAGGACTCTTAGCTTAAGTGCGATTCGGGACTGATCTGAGAGCAACTCTGAGTTAAGAAAAGACAAAAACTTTCATCTTAGTGTTTCATCTTTCATCTTAGTGAGGAGGCGGGGCTGACCCCGTTGCCACGAATGACATAACCTTCTGAAGACTGTGATTGGTTGGTTGTCCAAGAAGGGAAAAAAATTGTGTGTGATTTGAAGTATAGGGTCTATTCTAAGCCTTCACTTTGAAATTACATGTGTAATTTTTCCTATTTGACCGTTCTCATAGCATTATGTGTGTATATAAATCTTTTTTTTTATTTACCATGCTGTTAATTTCCTATAAGGTATTTGATTAGCTGTATATTCTCTGAAAATGAAAACATGCACCTTGAATTCATTCAGTCATGTTCGTCAATCATTAAACAATCACTGAACTTTTTCCATGAAAAAACTGCTAGTATCATAAATATTTATATCAAACTTCTTAATGTTATATTTTAGAAAACTGAATAGGGTCAATAGTCTGTAAACACAAATATTTTTCCATACTGTTATCTTTCCATACCTGGAAAGTAGTGTTATGATACAGCATGTCAAAATGACCTTGGGTGACCTCTTGACTTTTTTTTTTGCCCGTTGTCTTGCCCTACCGTTGACCCCTCCACTCCGGTGTCACCTTTGACCTTGGTTATAATTGGATAATTGGAATGTCTATGACCTTGTGAGTATAATATGTCTATTGATACATTTTTTTAACTTTGACATGTTATAATGGAAGTCATGAGGGTTATTTTTGAGCTCTGGCATGCAGCAGCATCCGCATTCCCTCTCAGGGTTATATAAATGAGGACAGTGGAAGTGTCAAAGTTTTCTAATAATAAAATAAGAAATATTTAACAGAACATATCATGAGTATGAAGAAGCTCCAAACACATCAATGTCCATAAAACACATGAATGAGGTATTATTTTTACTAAACAGCGTCTGTTCAAAAACAATGTTTAAAGCAAAAACTGTGCTTAGGCGTCTTAGATCTTATTTATACAAAAATATTTCAAACAGTCAAAGTTTGTTTTCCATGTTGCATGGACAAAAGTTTTCAGAGATGCAATGTCCCTCGGAGGTCCACGATAGTATAAGTAAAGTTTGTCTTGAGCGAATATTTCATTTTACTCATTTTACAGGAGCTGTATGCAAGAAATGTATTTCAATTAATCATACATTTCCCCTGATATGTCACTACTAGACATTAAGATGATGTGCTTCTCACGGTGGTGATTATCAGTCTACGAAGAGTCAAAATGCCGCCACAGCTCCGATTTGAATGAGTCAACATCTACGCTTGCCGTCGCCATGTGTTTGACAGCGCATGCACACAGTCTATTGCACACACTGGCACGGGATGAGCGGAGCAAACCAAGCGTTTTCAGTTCATTAAGGGGCTTTCACACAGGACGCGGTATGAGCGGTAGAGCGTTGCCCTTCAGATACAACGTGATTTGCGCTGCGGTATGCCGTATGATATTAAATATATATGTATATATGTGTGTGCATGTACACATATAACATTGAAATCAACAAACGAATCATGAGCTCAGTTCTTTTTTAGAATAAAACATTTATTCAAATAACAAACGAAGAAATTATACATATATTAAAACACACCTGACAAGCCAACTTGAATGGTATCGAAAACGCAATTCTTGACTTGGTATCGGTCTCAAAACAATAATTTTGGTCTCGTGACAACACTAGTCGGAATCCACATTTCGAAGCTAAAAAAAACCTCGATGTGAATATGAAATACTTTGTGACAAAGTCCGAAATAAATAATCAACAGAAAAAGAAAAAAAAAAAACTCGCTTTGTAGGACTCGCCACTTGCCATTGGAAGCTTCTTGTAGCCAGTTTTGGCCACAATCTTGCATTGGGCTCCTTTAGAGGAGCATTGCGGAAGTTTTGAAATTTCTTACCGTTACTGACACCAGTGGCCGTTAGAGAAACTGCAGCCAGTCTCATGCTCGTTCTCGGTGCGCTCGTTGGCCGCATTCGATTTTTAGATTTATTTGATTTTTTTTTTTTTAAACGTACAAGGAGTTTCCATGAGTGTCTGGAGGCTGGTCGCATTCCCTCCACAGAGTCCATTTGAAATACTAATAGTAATTGCCTGCTTACTAATGCCATCTTAAAGATTTTAAAAACCTACACATAGCCCCTTTAATTCAAAGCATGATCGTACTTTTTCTACTGTAGCTATGATCTATTGCACGTAAAAGGTGTATATCATTTTTACTTTTCTTGTACCTCCCGAACCATCCTTAATCAGTGTGAAACAGACAGGGTGAAACCCTTTACTTAAAATACACAATCAGTTATCTGCTCAAAATATAGCTAGAATTTTTTAATGTTAGCATTTGTTGATGTGACAGGCCGTGTGTGTGTGTGTGTGTTGGCCGAATGAACAGACTTTGGAGAGAGCTGATTATACTATAGCAGGAAGCATGCCCTTTGACCTCCTTAATTGGAGGTATTTTTAAAACCCTAAATGTCAGTCCTTGTGTAAATTACAAAACAGCATTTTCCAACTAAGTGAATCTACACATGAGGTCTTCAAAAGTCATAACCTCAGGGGTTAATGGGTCTCCTGAGACTATTTCATTCGATTAACAACTAAAGATTAAGCTAAATGACACTAATTTAAAGCGTTCCCCCCAAAATCAAATACTTTATACGATATGTATTACACTTTTCCAAAAGATAATCTTGCATTAAAGTTTGAACACAAATTTAAAAGCAGTTCTTCATATTTGCTGTGTTCTGACACACACAATGCCATTAATTGCTACTTTTTTTTTTTTTAGAAAATGTACTTATTTCTACAAAGGTTCAATTTCAGTCCCTTTTCTAGCAAGTATAAAGTAAAAAAAATATGATAAATATGTCTGATACAATGTTTTTTTGTTTGTTTGTTTGTTTGTTTTTAAAGGGGGCTGCAATACTCCAAACAGTTCCTCGCACAATGCCAGCATTAAGGATGGTCAACAATTTGGGTCAATTGGTGAAAACACTGCATGTATAAGGTAGTTTTCCAAATCACCCCCAAAACAAATACTGTATTACACTTTTCAAATGATAATCTAGCTTTAAAGTTAGAATAAAAGTTACATATCTTCATATCTGTTGTGTTCTAACACAATACCAGTAACTGGTCCTTTTTGATGTATAAATTTACTTTTCTAATTTCTACATACCAATTTCTAATGCTACTTTTTATCAGCCTGATAAATATGTTTTTGTTAGCCTGAGTTATTACAAGATGAAACAAGAGAATGGATGAATTACAATTGATGAGTGGTATTTTTACATGAAAGGAGGCATGATTCAT